TAGCAGTAGCAGTAGCAGTAGCAGTAGCAGTAGCAGTAGGAGTAGTGGTAGTGGTAGTGGTAGTGGTAGTGGTAGTGGTAGTGGTAGTGGTAGTGGTAGTGGTAGTGGTAGTGGTAGTGGTCGTCGTCGTCGTCGTCGTCGTCGTAGTAGTAGTAGTAGTAGTGCTGGTGGTAATAGCAGCAGCAGCATTAGTAGCAGTCGTAGTAGTGCTGGTGCTGGTGGTGGTGGTGGTGGTGGTGGGGGTGGTGAAAGGGGGTGGTGGTGGCCGTGGCGGTGGCGGTGGCGGTGGCGGTGGCGGTGGCGGTGGTGGTGGTGGTGGTGGTGGCGGCGGCGGCGGCGGTGTTGGTGGTGGGGGGTGAAGGTGGTGGTGGTTGTCCTCGTTGCCTGTGGTTGTGTAGGAGTGGACGCCGGGGATAAGCGTAGGAGTGGGGATAGATGTTGTTGTTGTAGTTGTTGTAGATGTAGATGTTGATGACGGTGCATGGCGATGATGATGATGATGGTCATGGCGATGGTAATGGTGGTGGTGATGATGATGGTAGTGGTGGTGGTGGCCTGGTACCGGTGCTTGTTGTACGTCCAACAACATTGACAATTAGGGGCAGTGGCGGGCAGTGGTGGTAGGAGAAGGGGGGGAGTAATACAGTAAAGGAGGATAATGGCACATAGGTAGATATCGCAAGAGCAAGCAGTGGCAGCACTGGCAATAGCGCCAACAGGAGCAGTGGCAGCAACCGCACGGGGCAAAGTGCAGCCGCAGCAAGCAGCAGTTGAATCGCTGGTCGATTCTTTGCTGGCCTCGAGAATGACACAGCGATCGGACCGTGACCTGGCCACAGGGGCATCCGACAGAAATCCTAACTGGTTATTTACAGCATCATCTGGGACTGCGTCGCATGGAGTGGTCGACAAGTCTTGTCCGATGCAAGGTCCGGCAGGGCGCAAACAATTTGCGGGCACCTCTAGTTTCATATGCTCCTCGACGGCTAGGAGGTTGTCGATGAACATGTCCATCAGAAATCTCCGCTCCTGCTGCGCAGCTTGCGAGGTGTGACAAAGTCTGAGAAAGTCTGGGCACCTGCGGTCCGAGCTTGAGGTCGGCGGCAAACTCCCTGAGCAGAGGCGCGGAGCTCATGGAGGGCATCTCCCCCCAAGCCCTCCCCGAAACCCGAACCGAGCGGCTTGAGGATTCCGAACTCAAGCTCTGGCCTCAGAGCTCACAGCTCTCTGTCATCTCCTTGAGCTAAACCGTTCTCGGGGCAGCGACAAGATGTGGGTCTTCGTAGCATCTCGAACCTAAGCTGCAGCTGGCACAGCGTCTGCAGATTCAGGACCATCGTCGCAACGGTGAGAACGGTGAAGACGACGAGGAGAGGATGAGGACTACCATGATCATGACCGGGATGGTCAGTCAGCACGAGTCTTATGATGGTCATGGTCGTTTCTGATCAGGACGGGAAGGACGCCGACGATGGCTACGCCGCTGCTGTGGCCTACTGCCGGCTTCTGCTAGAGGTCTCTCAGATTCTTGCCACGTTCCCCCCCGCTGCCGAGCTCCAGGCCGTACTGCGGCTTACATGGGAGAACTTCAGCACCATTGGAGCTGCTCTTGGCCCTGACCGCCGTGGTCGCTCTGGCCCGGGCCTCCGCATCCAATGCGATGGTCAGCTGTGGTAAACCCTGTGAGTGAGTGATGCCGGAGAACGTAGCATTGCATGCTGTACTGAAGGCTGAATACTATGCATTCTTGGAACAGCAAGAACAGAAAACAGACAGATTCTTGTTTTGCAGCCTTTCATGTGGCGCCACGGAACCGTCTGAAGAAAATATGGACAAGATCCTGTAGGGCGGAAAACATCTCGCATCTCATCGCCCACCGATCGACTTCAATTCCACGTCGAAGTAGAGCGTGGAGCCGGCTGGGATAGGGCCAATGGCCCGGTTTCCATAACCGAGGCCAGGTGGCACGATGATTTGGCGGCGTTCGCCAACTTTCATATCCAGCAGAGTCTCGTCCCAGCCCTTGATGACTTTGCCAATGCCGACCTGAAACTTCAAGGGTTGCCTCCGGTCCCGTGAAGAATCAAACTTCTTCTCGGACTCGAAATCCTCCAACCAGCCCGTGTAGTCTGCTGCGATCATCTGGCCTGTCCTCGGGCTCTCGCCGGAGCCTTCCTGGAGCACCTTGTACTGCAGACCCGAGGACGTCTCCGTGAAGCCGTCGCGGGCGGCGAAGGCTGCTTGCGGAAAGAGGAGCAGGGGTCCAAGCAAGAGGGCTCGCCGACCCAAGGGAGCACAAGCCCGTGAAGGCAGCATGAAGGAGATGCCCGGGCAAATAAGCAGCAAGCCTATCAGAAGAACTCCCCGGCCCCTGGTCGGCCGAATCATAGGTGTGTGACCTTGTGGTCTCAGGACTCTTACTCGAGCCACGACGGCTTCCCATGCAAGAGGCAGGGGTTTCGTGCGGCATGCGGTGGACACCAGGGATTCGAGACGAGGCTTCCTGCGGACTCAGGCAAATCCTGCTGGCGCCTTGTGACCAGAAATCACCTGAGCACACACCCCAACCCGAGGCTGCTTGCCGAAAAACTTCCGTTGCAAAGGCACCTGGTCAAAAGCTGGCCCCAGGAACCATGGCCCGAGCATTGCACAAGCTGCTAAGTCACTAGCCGTTCTTCAGGTTTTTGCAGCTTCCAACATATCCCACTCTCTTTGGCACTGCCTCTCGTGCGACATGTGGTAAATGTCTAGTGTAATCTGCAAACCTCGGCCATACCTACCTTCAGCCTGAGCCAGAGCCCACAAACTGCCAGCAGGCCGGATTCGCAGAAAACTCTCTGGAACTGCCAACTTGCCATTCTTCACTCGACTGACAAGCGTGCTTCTCCTCTTCAACGAACTTCGTCCTTTTGACCCGACGATTCCTAAGTTCTACAATGCTATCCTCACTCGGTGTGCCTTTTCATCTTCTGGCTGGGAGGCCGGCTCCCGAATGGCTGATGCGCAGCTGCAGCCAGACTCCGGCTTGGCTGGAAGGCCATGTGCGCAGGTCTTCAGATGGGTCTGCATCAATAAAGAACAGCCCAAATGAGGGGGGGCGGTTCCAGATCCACTCCTTGCCACTTGTGAGCCCCATCCTGGAGCGGAAACCAAAAAACACTACGGGTCGGTTTCAACCCCGAGTGAGGCCCTTGGACAGTTTCTGAAGGACAAGCGAAGGCACCTCTTGGCGCTCTCCGAACACCGGCTGGGGAGCGTAGTCGCGTGCAGCAAACGCAGCCTCAAACGGCGTTGCTTACTGCATCTTGATAACCATGGGCAGCCAAACTGCCGCCGGAATTCGACCTGGAGGTTCACAGGCACAGAAAGTTGCACATGCCGCCAAGTACGTACACTTAGCTGGACTTGGCTTGTGCTGGCATAGTCAACCTCCAGGATCACGATATGCTAGTACATGCACTCACTGAACCGTGCTTGGCACTTGTCAGTCTGGGCGCAATATGGCTACGACGAGTCTGCTGGGAATTAGGCATCGCAGTGCCCACCGCAGATCTCGAGCATGCTGACATACCGGACAGTCACAGGCTTAATTGGCCTGCGTACGACCCACTACAACTTTCGGTAGACAGTTCGTAGAGAATGCATTGACATGTGCTCTTGCAGCAGCCTCCGAAGCCAAAAAGAGACTAAACTGAACCCCTTGGGGGCTGCTCAATCTATAAGATACAACGGCGAACATGCTCAGCCAATCTCCTCTTTCGATATCCCCGGCAAGAACGAGGAAGCCCTGGAACAGTGCAGACAGTGCAGGGTTCGGAGGCCCTGTGCCACAATCGCCAGTCTCCCCCGTCTGGCCTGCTCCTCGCTGGGCTCTGAGCAGTGCTCAGCGCTGGGCTCCGCGCGGCGCTCAGCGCTGGGCTCCTCGCCGGGCTCCTCCCACCGCCCTCCCGGCCCTCGCGAGACCGCGGCGGCCGCAAAGTCCCCTTCGCAGAACCTCCACGAGTTCCGTGCAGTCTGGGTTCGGGGAAGTTGCAGCTCTTAGGAAACACACAAAAAGCCAGAGGATGGAACATCGTCGGCCTTCCGCCCTGAAGAGATTTACCAACTCGTGGCTTCCCAATGCCGTGACGTTCCATTGGAACTCCAGAGCTCAACAAGGAATTCAAGTTGCACACCTCACCTGGAGTTCCACCACCGAAAGCCGTGAGGTGGAGCTTTTCCCTCGCCTGACAGGGCGGGGTGGCTGGTGCCGATAGGCGTAAGAAATCCAAGCTAGGTTGATTCTGGAACGATCGTCATCAGAATGGCTCTTCTTGTCTGGCTCTTGACCTCTCGGCCTCTGCTACATCCTCACAATCACTTCTGCTACTGTCAAAGAATGCTCCTCGGCCTCCTTCAAGGATGCCCCAAGCTGGGTGATCTTCTCCGGAGGCACGGGGTTGTTCTGCATGTTCAATTCGAGCCTGCCCACAGACTTCCTAAAAGCCGTTATGCAAGGTCGCGTGGCAGAGGATAGTTGATTCTGCAATGGTTTCAATGGTCTCTCTCGTTAAGAAGCGACTGGTTCCTGGCCTCTTCCCGCAGGCAGCAAACAAGCTCTCTGCACCAGCAATTGCCACGGCATTGTCCTGCGAGTGCAGGAAGCTGGAATGCGAGTCAAGCCAGGTCGCACAGCGTTCGAGACTTTGCCTTTTCGGGCGACTGGGACGATCGCCAGCCTACGAGTATGATTTACTTACGTTCTCGATTTCGGTCCTGCAGATCCAGCTGCACCAACGAATGATGGCCCTGGGCTCCGCAACAACAGGAACTGTCTCCCTTCTGCAGCTTTTCGTTGAAAACATGAACGGAGGTGATGCGAGAGTCGCACGCGTCAGAGCCCCTTCATTGAGTCTATGCCTATGCCTTGAACGGATGCTCCCGGAATTCCGCCTTGATGGCTTTGGACAGGCGCTTGCTGCCAACGTCACCAATGCGGTTGTGCCTGCAGATTCGACGTCGCGCGCGACTGCTCCTACCTTCCCGGCTTCTTCAGTCTGCTCCTGGAAACTGGGAAAACCTCCCTCCCGTTTCTTCCCAGGCCAGAAGCCTTTCCGCAAATCTGAGCCTGAGGTCCAGGTGCTGTAGCCGAGACCGGCTGCGGATGATCTTGGCCTTACGCAGCTCCGGAAATTCTTGTAAGCGCTGAAAACCTTTGCCGAAGTGAACCGCTTCCGCAGCTGCGAATTGAACTGCCGACATGCCATGCCTTTTCCATGCAGCGCAGGCTGATAGCAACTTGTGCGAGCACCAGGAGAATGTGGGGGATCTGGCGTCCACGTCACAACAAACAATGACCCGAAGGAACTTTGGAAACCGCACGCTCGCAAGCTTGCTTGACATGACGAACAACTTTGTTCTTGGTCGAGGCCACATTCCTCCGGCTTCACAGTGGCGTGCTGCCCTGTCACGGCTCAGCTCCGAGTGAGCGAATCCTGAGTGTGAGATGCAACAGAATTTCCACAAGGTCAAAATGACGCGAAGGCTGCGGCTCCAGGAAGGGATCATCCAAGGCTCTGCTGGATGAGTTCGGCCTCTCCGTCGATCTTCTGCTTCTGCAGCGGGTCTATGGGAGCTCCAGTGGCAACCTCCAGACATCGAAAGGCACTGCCGGAGACACACGACTTCACTCGAGGAGCCGACTTTCTCCTTTAGCTTCTCGATGTCCCGCAGCTTCTTCCTCGGTACGACACACCAGGTCTTGAACCCCAGCTTGTCAGATCGCGCCAGGACACCTCAGCGCGCGGACCTTCTTCTCCACCTCGTCACCTGTCCACATCCCGAGTCGTCTGATGAGTCTTGATGTCATGGTTGCGGTAGATTGATGTAGGTTGTGAAGGGCATCGGATGTGTTGCAAAGCTACTCTGCCTCACACCGCTCGGCACTAGGAGGCGTCGGGTTCACACAGGTGCATCAGCACAGAAACTCAGCTACTGAGCTTATTGCTGCGTGACGGGCAACGATGCTGATACAGAATGTCACAAGCATGAGATCATCCTTGGGTGCCGATATCGTTGGGAACCCTCAATGCTGCGAAAGAGGCAGCAGGGCGAGTTTGGAGGGCAAGTCGCGGGGCCCTGCTGGAATCTACTCCACTCTTCAACTCTAGAGGCAAGGCCTTCCAAAGAAGCAAGAGATGTTCGTCTACAGGAGCTTTCACCACTATGGTGCTCGGGACCACGGGGGTTTTCTTGAGGGAATTGCTTGCCTCCGACGGCTTCCTGGGACTCCGCCGCCGTGCCCGCTGATGGCGCCGGCTTTGCGTCGCCTGCCCCAGGGGGACTCTTCCATGGAAGAGTACTCACTCTTCTGTGTAAGACGTTTCCTTTTGAACTGAGGGTTTAGGGCAGCCACGGGAAGGGAACCTTTATGCTTTGAAGGTTCGAAAAGCCGAGGTTCGAGACAACCTGTATGCTCCAAGCTTCCACGGAAGACGCTTGCATCGGAATCCACACAGAAGCTGTGGCTCCCAAGCGAATGTACAGTTATGTTGCTACTCGGATTTGTCTCTGGGAGTATAGCGTCACTATCCTTTCGACTTCAGCGGGTGGGAGAAGTGTGCGCTGCCGCTTGCTGCTGCTACTGCTGCTGCTGCTACTAAGGAGTCTTACTAACACAAAGCATCGCAACCGTTCAAAGCAGGCACCTGTCCGTGGAGGTGGCACGAACTTCTCCACATCGGGCTCGGGTGCTGCCTGCATGCCATATGCTTGGGCCTTTGCCACAATCGCTCACCTACAGTCTTCATACGTCTGCAAAATCGGTGCGATACTCACCGCAGGATCTGGGAATCACCTTACATGGCCTTGCTGGGAGGTCTGAAGATGGAGACGATCGAGAATAATGTCTGGAAAGCCAACCTGTTCATTCCAGAACCAAGTCTCAAGCACCTTCCAGCAAGATTGTTCTGACTCTGCAGCCTGGAACACTCTGCAAGTGAGCGAAACCATTTACGAAAACTCGAGGGCTTTGCATCTTGACATCTTCTTGCAGTCGCTTCCCGCTGTGCGGCCTGGGCGGCAGCCTCTTTCGCCTTCGTGCACTTCTTAAGTATTACCCCTAGGGCCGGGAGCGTTCTTGATAGATCTGAGCATTCCGAGCTCTAAAGTGCATTGCAGCTTCGAGTTCCGGGCAGGGAGGGAAGCAGACTTGCAATTCACCATTGAACAAGGGGTTGGGAGGCCAGGACTGTCGCTGATATCTCGAAGCGTGTGGCAGGGTGGCAGAGCCTGTTGCCGATGTCAACTATGAAACCGGAATTCTCCAACTCGCTAAATGCACAATGCTATTTATGCTAGCTGCGAAGGCTGGCTTTCAAAGAAGCTTAGTATGAACCTGTGTGAATTACAAGCAACCCGGGGCCATGCTAGGTAGTGGCACGTGCGCCTGCAGCATCTTCAACGCACACTACACGAACCGTGGATGTTGCAGTTTTGTTTGGTGGACAGGGACAGCGGAACGGAAGCATCTAGGGGCTTAAGGGAGGGTCTTCAATGCTACCCTGTTCTTTGTTCATCGCTGAATGCACGGTGGCCTTCTTCTTCCTTGCGTTGCGGCTGCTCCCGCTGCCAGTGCCTCCTTGGTTACCCTGCGGGGCGGGCGCAAGCCAAAGTAGGGAAAACTCTGTCTACCTGGCTCCAGCTGTCCGCAAAGCTCTTGACTTGGAAAGTGGGTTGATGATATCTGACAATGACTGTTGTGGGCATCCATTCTACGACGTTTACCGGAAACCTCAGAATCAGTGTTTTGCAGTTGGACAGGGCGCTGTGCCTTTTGGAAGTCCTCCGCAGAGGCTCCAGGAGGCAAGGAGATTGGTGCAGCCGTCGGAGCACCCACCTTCTTGACACCCGCAAAGAGAATCTTGCAACACTTGCTGGATGCGACGGCCGCTGTACACTGTAGTTGGTCTTTCCAACACCTCCACGCCCGATTTCCAGCCCGTCTTGTGTTACTTGCGCAGAGTGCTCGGCGTGCCTTTGTGGCAGTTGTGGCTGCGCCGGCCGACGTGGAGCCCAGCTCCTGTGGGGCACTCTGAGGCGTAGGGGAGGCAGGGCATCAGAAAAAGTGGCCTTGCCAAGGTCCTTTACTCTGGCGAGGAATGGGCAAATCAAAACACTCTCTTTCGGATCTGTGTTTGCGCTTGATTGCAGCAGATTGCAGCACAGAACATGGGTGGCCTTTCGCAGAAGGTCGGCAAGGCCGCCACCAGCCCGAGCGCCGGGCGGTCTGAAGCAGAGCTTTTTAGCGTTTAGAAGTGCCAAAACCACGCACAACTTTGACACTTTTTTCGGGGGAGTCGTCTTCGCCTGTGATCCGAACGTGGGTCCACGGAAGGAGATGCTGCTTTGTTGCAGACGCGCTGGCCTGTAGGCTTGGGCTGCCTTTGGTTTCGCCGCTGCCTTGGCCTGCGTGTGCAGGGACTCTAGACCCTGCCCTCCCCCCCCACAAAAACTGACTGCGCACTATAATCCTACGGCCTACAACTTGCGTGGCGTGCATAACATGAACACCCTGGCTCTCCAATCGCCCCGGACACCTACTGTGCAGAAAGTCCCCACCCTTCTCTTCTTCTTAGCTACAAGACCTCAGAGACCCTCGGAAAAGCAAGCCGCGAGACCGCGGCAGCCTGAGAGGCCGGGGCACTTCGGCCCGGACTGGGTGCCCGGTCCTGGCAAGGAAGAAGCCGAGATCGTAGGAAGTTTAGGGATGTTTAGGTAGGACTAAGTGACTAACAACTGCCAGAGGGCACCTGGAAGGCTCCTCGCGGTCGTGGCCGCCAGCCTGGCTACGGAGATGCAAGTGGCATCTATGTGTGTGTGTGGGTGTGTATATATATATATATGTGTATATATATATATACACATATGCATGCATGTATACATACAGCTTACATACCTGCATATATACATGAAATGTATGCATGTCGGCTGTCAGAGGTTTTTTTGAGAAGTGCTGCTATGCTGCTTTCAAGGTTGCAGGTGGGTTGGCGCCGATGCTGGCTGCAGCTCGGAGTTCGACTCAAACTTTGGTTCCTAATGACGCTCACAACCGATTGCCCACGTGGGCGATGACATGACACAAACCTTGACGCCTTGAACCGAATTTGCTTCATTACTTCTGTGATCTTCTGTGCCACGTAGCAAGCAGTGTGATTGCGACATTCGCACGTTGACATCAACGATTCTCTCGATCCGGTTCGCTTGTCCTTGCCATGTGCCTGCAAGGAGCAGCTCGTCGAACTCCAGCTTGCCGAGTGGGGCACCAAGGTAGTCGAAGAGCTCAATCTTGTTGTCCACGCGCATCCTCCACGCTTTCTAGCTTGTGAGGCTTTGTTTTCCTGCTAAGCTCATGCTAGGAAGATATGCATACCAAGATCACGCATTGTCATTGTCAACCTTGACCCATCCTTGGTGCTGTAGTGGCGGTGAGGAAGTGGCGGCCATCTGGGGCCCAGCCACATACCACACAACACCTCGACACTGTGGCCAGCAAATCGGTAGTAAATGAACTATCTCCGAGCTTTGTCCGACTGCAGAGCCGTCAGTCATGATGCCCCGAGGCTGATCCGCAATCTGGAATCTGTAGCGCAAGCATGGTCAATCCCAGTTCGATAGGTGCACCTCTCTGATGCCACACCTAGACTCAAAATTCTCTAAACTCTCTTTTTACAGGGCATGCTGCTCCATCCGCCGGCTGGCCATCAGCTGCCTCAGTCCAAAAGACCAGCAAGGAAGCTATGGCTCTTCTGTGGCATCAGTTGAAGCCTTGCAAGCGCCGCCCTGTTCGAATCACAACACTCTGAAATCAATTCTGGACCAAGCACTTCCCAGGCTTGTCCCAGAAGTCGGTGTCTCCAAGCCTTAGTGTCCGGTGAGGCAGCTGGAGGGAATTGCACCGGGGTATTCTCACACGTCGGAAAATTCAAGAAGCCATACCGCGGCGTTGACTTTGTGCAGACATTCATGCACCCGGAAATGGCCTGTCCAAACCGGTCGGTCTGAGCAAAGCAGCAATTGCCCATAACCACCGAGAACGAAGAAGCGGCCGAAAGGGTTCCACCTTCACCCCGGCTTCCAAGCACATGATGAAACACAAGCACGTAGGAGGGTCACAGACAAAGCCACTGACCAGTGCAACAGACCATGCCTAGTCTCGCTCGTGGATCCGTCTATGGCGAACGTAGCATTTGGGCTTGGAATTGCAAGTTCTGGTCCTAATCTTGAGCTAATGAATCCAGAAACCGCCACCTGCCAAGCCTAAACTACATTACATGCGTATCGCTGCGTATCGGTTCAGCTTCCCTGGCCAAGAGCATGTCGTGACAAAGTCGCCAAACCCCAAGAGCTTCCATATCAATCATCTTCACTGCGTGCCTGATGGTATTGCGATGACCACTGCCAAAGTCCACGCGCTTGTTACCCTGGCAAATCTGGACGTGCTGTGTACATTTGGGCTGTCTGGGTGGCAGGATCGCCCCTCAAGCCTTACAGCAATCTTTGGACGAGAAAGGATGGATAGACTCGCGAACAATAAACAGGAGTCGGAACATGCTCTCAGTGCAGAATCGAATTTCATGTGATGTGAAGCCGAAGCCACAATCCAGGGACGAAGACCTTGCGGCCTTCGTAGAGCCCAGCCGGGCATGGAAGCTCTCCATGCAGAAGGATGAACTCGTCCTGGATTCTATGTAGCAACCACGCGCTTCTAAGCTGCACATACAGTACATAGGGTCATAGGGCTGCAACCATGCAATTGCACTCAGGCGTGCGGGACCCAGCCCCATGCCTGTTGGTGGGAGAGGACGAAGACAAAAGCTTGAACAAGCTGAAGAAAGCTTTTCCACGGACGATGTACACTCCAAGGGTCCCGAATCATGACAATTAGCCAGACCCAGCGCTGGCACGGCGTGAAGAGAGACAACAAACAAACCAGCTGGGAGCATGCTGATGTATGTCGGCAAACAACCAGCACAATCAGCAGGTGTTCAGAAAAGTCCTGCTGATGCCGTCAACGGCTCTCCGGATGATAAGCGGGAAATGACAGGCGCTATGCACTATCGGACCGCAGGGCATTGGCACGGTCCTGAGTTGGGCTCCACTGCGCATCGTGGATCGGACCACCGTCAGCGGACGCTACAAGGGCCGACTGGGCGTGCAGCAGAAGGCTTTGGCGAAAGGATCCACATTTCAAGCTTGGATGGGCTTCGCGAGTGGGCTTTTGCCCATCAGCGTTGTTTCCAATATGGTTCAAGAATTAGTGCGTGGAGCAATCTGCGAGGCCTCCAGGCTTGTCGGCACTGTCAATGATAAAGATACTATTCAACATGCAAATTTCCCAGTGAAACGCAGATCCCTACCTCCCTAAGCCAGCCATCAGGGCATGTTTGCCAGCCTCTTCGCCGTCTGCACGCAGAAAGTAGAGATTCGCACCGCCGTAGTAGCTTTTCCCAGTGTCATCGACCTTCGAACTAGCCCCGTAAACAGGTGTAAGCTCCCGGGCAAGTGGGTGTTGACTCGCCCAAGTCAAGTCCAAGTGTTTTGGCTCATAGAATCCGAAGATCGGTTGCTACTGAGATGAAAGTTCGGAGCATCGCTGCAATCCATGGGAAATCCCGAAGGCTGCTGTGAGAGGGCCTCCATGGCGGATTTCACAAGTACTGCCGTGCCAACGTTGTTCCACTTCATGGTGACCTGAGTCCCCACTGCTTTACCCGCGCAAAGTTTTCCTTCACAGTTACTGCTACTGCGACAAGACCACTCTCAGCGAAGAAAGAAACCAGAGTTTCGATCGTCCTTCCGAGATCTTCCGAGTGACGAGATGTGCAGAGCTGTGGACAACGACGATGCCTCGCCTGCAAACCGAGCAACCTCCAAGCAGAGAAATGAAGGCTCAAAACTTGTGCTGAAAGCACGGCAAAATGATCTGCACCGAAGGACCAGCTTGTGCAACACTACCAGCCTCTGAACTAAAGGCGAACCGCTGGGCTCAGTCGGCATACGTATGGGCAAACTGAACGACAAACTGGTTTGACGTGCTGAAATGAGATCACGAAAGTTAAGTCTACGTGAATAACCGAAAGATCTGGGCGGAGATAAGCCATGCATGGGAAGATCGGAAAAACAGCATCTCCAATGACAATGAAAACGGAGCAGCAAAACAGCGAAGACTGTCAGTCTCGCACCAAAGAGACGATGTTCTCGATTCGAACCATCAAGCATGATGAGCGAGTCTGCCGAGTCAGACTGGGCGGCTACCGCACATCCTGTTTACTGGGATCTGCTTCCCCGACGGCAACTCGTTTGAGACTTGAAGGATCTCAGCCCGAAATTCCAGCTGGCCAATTTCATCGGCAATGCTGAGGCGCACACCGTTTGGGCCTGGAATTGCGTGCAAGTGACACATAGAAATCATTTGCTCTTCAAAAGAGATCCTCGCATATCCCAGGGATCTTAAAATCCGAAAGCCCCGACTCCGAGCGTCGGCAGCGGGCCTTTGGTACCTACACATCGTCTGCATGATCAGCCAGGTTCTCTAGCGCCATACTTTCGCAAGGCGTTGACTTCAGCCTACTACAAAGGCCGTAAACCCTGAACCCAACTGACAACTGGAGAATGCCTCGCACCCTGATGTAACTGTGCGTCTTGTGGCGGGACGCTCCAGCACAAAGGACCTTAACTCACATCCGTTTTGGCCTTGAAGAAGTTCTTCGTGGCCGTTGCCTCAATTTCGTACCCAGGCGGCCATGTTGAAGTGGTCACACGACAACTCCGAAACATAGCTTAGGCCGATCTCCAGTTGGGTCTTGCGTCGCGATCGGCGCGTGAGTCAACTTCAAGCTCAAGTCTTGGACCCAACACCTTGTATGCCGTTCTAATCCGTTACATCTCATTGCACATTGTCGTGTTTTAATAAAGTATGGCAGAGTAGAGCAGAGTACAGCATAGCATGGTATAGTATAGTATAGTATGGTACAGTACAGTAGAGTAGAGTAGTAGAGTATGGTATGGTATGATATGGTATGGTATGGTATGGTGCAGTACACGACAGAGTTAGGATAGCATAGCGTGTTTCTATATATGTAGCGTTCGTCTAGTACATGAATATGAACATATATATATAGAGAGAGAGAGAGTTTTTTGTTGCTCACCCCCCGGCGACAGACCATCGCAGGGAAAGCATAAACGTGGCTAACTTCAAAGAAGCTTTAGGGTACTCTCATTGGCTGGAAAATGTCCATTGATGTCTCGAGCCTGTCGTGTCACTAACCTTGGCTTGTTCAAGACCTACAACTTGCGATTAAACTCAATGCAGAATTCAACTATTGATTTGGGAAGTCTTTATGCGAAATGATTGCCAGACATTTGTTGATGAACTTCTCCCGTTTGTCCTGTGAAAATTTAGAGATCAATCAGTAATCTCTGCTGAAGATGTTACTATGGGAAGACCAGTTCACTGATTGTTCTGGTCTGGCCATTAAGCTTTCTTCTTTGTCTACAATTGAAGTCTTCACTATGGGAAACCTCGAACTAGTCGAAAATTCTTGAGTCACGCCTGTACACTTAAAGCAGCATTCCGAAAACACGACACAGCCAATATGCTGGCTTGAGTTGTGCACACATTTCGTAAGATAAATATGTAAGACATCGGTTTCTGCGTGCGTTGTGTTTGCATGTGGGGGGCGGTCCCTAATTGTTGTGCATGGCGTTTAACGGGGCTTTCGCAGGTGCTTACAGTACAAACCTCTGATCAGTACAATAGCAGGAGTCCACAACACAATTGTAAGATACATGAATGTTTAATGGTTATCATTTGCTAGGTGAACATGTCTGCATCGATTCTGTACAAAAGACAACACCCAGTTCGACCACCGAAGGACAGGACATTATTTACCGTAACTCATGAACAACTTCAGATGAACTAAACTCAGAATAAGCATGTAAAGGTTTGTTGGTACAGGGACAAGATATCAAGAACCAACCCGGTGAATGCAAAACCCCAAAACTTAACAAGCAGCCACTAATTTAAATATCTTTATTCTCAACACTATCAATCCTCCAGCCTGAATGTATTACCGGACCAGCCCATCCCTACCCATCGTTCGATTAAAGCACAAGTATGAATATTCAGGGACTAAAACTTGGCAGTTACATATTGATCAGAATATGAATAAACAAAGGACTCAAAAACTGACACATGTACCTGATAATGTTTGGTTGGCTTGAAATATTGGAAATACCAACTGTTGAACAATGCACCGATTATCCAGAGCTAATCGCACAGGGGTGATTTATTGAAAAAATATGTAATGGTGTGAAGATTGCAGCTCTGCCGGCATGTATCTGGCAATACGACTTGGTCTTACATATGCGATTGTGTGAAGTATGAAGTAGTGAAGTAATGGACCAATGTTAAGTCAATGATCAAAGATAGCAAAGCATAGGGAAAAGCATTGGAAATGATGGTGGTAAAGAACTGGAAACTCAATAATCGTGTCTCTGTGTATCAGGCGATAGCAAAAGATGATTGGACATAATCACTAGTCACCTAGACCTAGACTAAGATCGGCTCGACAAGACTAGGAATCGCGGAATAATCAAACTATACAAACAACGATATGGTTTATTCTAACTTTACATGGTTGATGATTGATACTTCTGCGAGATCTATTGCAGTTGTTACTCACGTGTGAAGCTTAGTAATCCCGGTTGCACATATGGGCATGTGTGAGCACAAGCACTGAAAATGAAACTAACTTGCTCTGAAACGACCGCTGGTGCCAGAGTATTCAATAACATAATGTTTTCAAACCTGTAAGTCAAACAGTCAAACTTACATAAACCAGTAGTAGAATCCCAAAACGGACTGAAAAGATGCTTGTGCATCGGGCTTTAAGGTTTAAGGCTTTGTATGGGGATCTCCCGCAGGAGCGCAGGCGCGCCACACTAGAGATGAAGGATGAGTCCAAAAAAACAAAAACCAAACATCCAGACAGAATGCCGGAACTGTTTTGATGTTTTTTGGTTGTTTGTGTTTCTAATATAATTCGTTGGGTTTGTGTTTTTTTATATATTTGGGTTTTACAAGATTTTCCTATGCAGTACCAACTGCCTGTAGCAATCGGAACACCCAAAACCCAAGACTGAAACACAAAAACACAAAGAACCAACAAAAACAAAACACCAAAAAAACAAAGCAGTTTCGGCATTATCTCTGGATCTTTGGTTTTGATTGTTTTGGGGTTTTGGTTTCAGGCTGGGAGTTTCAAGCCACACGAATACAGGACAACAAAGCAAGACACGCAAATATCAATGCAGTTCCGGCATTCTCTTCGGATATTTGTTGTTTCTGTGGTTTTTTGTTTTCGGTTGAGTGGTTAAAGCCAGCTGAAAGCAGTGTTTGAATCCCGAACCCACGAAGACGGCCGGAATCGCCGCTGTTTCAAAAGGAGGTGATCTGTCATGAGGACGGTGACCAAATATTTCTATTCATATACTTATATTTACATAAGAGTGTGGGTGTGTGAATAATAATAATGATAATAAAATACTAACAATAGTAATAATAACAACAATAGCAATGACAACAATAATAATAATAATCATAGTAATAGTAATCGTAAAAGTAAATAGTAATAGTAATAGCAATAGCAATAGTAATAGTAATAGCAACAGCAACAGCAACAGCAACAGCAATAGCAATAGCAATAGTAGCAATAAAAATAATAAACAATAATAATAGTGGCAAAAATAATAGTGATAATAACAATAATAGTAATAATGATAATGACAATAATAAGAATAACAGTAGTAACAATAGTAATGATAATAATAACAACAATAATAATAATGACAATAATAAAAGTAACAATAATAATAAAGATATGATATTGTATATCTCCATATGTATATACATATATATATATGTATATATATATATATACATATATGTGTGTGTGTGTACGTACTACCGAAAATTGGCGCGTCCGAGATGCTCTGCTGGGATCATCCAGCTTGTAAACCTGCGACTGGCAGAGGTGCCCGGTGGGCTTTTGGGCCTTCTTGGGGCTTGCGCTGCAGTGTTTAGGGCTCAGGCATCATAAGCTGTTGTCTCTAAGTGGCGCATGAAAGCAGGAAATGTTTGGAAGACCGATCTATGGTCATCCTTCAGATGTATTGCTACACTGAGGCAAAACAACAAACAGGAACCCGACCCCACCGAATCGCACTGACAGAAGCTTTGTTGTTCGAATCTGGAGTTTCTCTGGCTTTCATCGGGGGTCCGGGAAATCAATCGAGGCAAGGATAGCTTCACACACATGCTGAGATTCGCCTTCTTAGTGGACTGAATTGGGTAACGAAAACTTAGCCGCCTGGCATCTGGCGGGCTGGCCCTTCGTCTCGGCCACGACAAGCGCCACATGGGGAGATCCGCTACCTCGCCAGAACCACAATCCGAGGCCGCTCGAGGCCGAAACCCTAAACTTAGACTTTGGACTCAACCCCAAAAGGACCCCCCCCCCCCAAAGTCGGAACCCTTCTGAAACCGAGGGCCCCTCTGAAACCCCGCCGGGACCCAATCCTCACCCTGAGGAGCCCGGCCTTGGGGACCGGATCCACGCGGTGAGACCTCGCGTTTTTCACGATTTCTTTCGCGGCTACACAAGTACTTCTGCAAAAGACGTGAGGTGTCTCTGCATGTTCCACAGCCCGTGCGCCTCGAATGCCATGATCCCCGGCGCGTCTATGCGCGTGACCTCTGCCGGGATTGCGAATCAACGATTGGCATTTTTCGGAAAACCAGGATTTTCCGAAGTGCAGCCCTCGCACCACACCACCCATGCGTGGACTTCGCGCCTCCGACCGCTCGCAGGAGCCTGGCAAGATCTGGACGCCGTCCTCTGCGAAAGGTCACGTCGGCTCAGACAGCTCGGGAGATGAGCTTGGGCTTGAGGCCTCTGAGCCAGCTCAGGGTTCGGGATTATGTCACAGGGAGAACGGCCTGCACCATTCGGCAGCAGTGCGTCTCCAGACTTGTCCATTTCAGAGGTGGCCAGGTCATCCCCTGGCACAGCGATGTCATGTGGCCGGCCCAACACTTCGCTGTCCACTGTGTGCTGCAGACAAGCGGCGGTCATGTTCTTGAGAATGAACGAGAAGCGCTTCTCGCCTGCCACGACACAAGGCGGTGTCTGGCAGCGTCTGGCCGTCGGATGCCCTGGGGCTCTGCCTGTCTTCGCGTCCCAGACGCCCACATTGTCACCGGCGTCCTTGCGAGGTTCAGTGGACTGCAGCATCCGAGGAGGTTCTCAGCTCCCGCCTTGACCCAGCGCTCGTAGGTCACGAGGTGCGTGCCCAAAGGGGAAAAGTAAAAATTCCTGTCACTTCGAAGCTGCCGCGGCAGTACGGCAAAATCCTGAACCCGTCTCCACCTTGCTGCATGTGCCAGGTTTCAGCATGATTGATGTGAAAAGCCTCAAATTGGCACACCTCCAAACCCTTCCGGCACGAGATCTCCCAACACCCCAACCACAATAGATAAAATGCACAGCACACGCTCGCCTCACCGGGCCGCCCACCAGGGGGGGCACCTAGATACAGCTATGCATAGCTCTACCATGGCATATGAAAGCTCCAGGGCCGAGAAAGTCTGACGGTGCCTGGCACACGGGCTCGTAGCCCTGAGCGGCGCTGTACCTGAGGCTCAACGTTGAACGAAGAGCGAACGAGCAGGTCAGTCCACATGTCCAGTCTAGGCCATATGGGGTGTGCCAGCAGTATCCATGAATGTCCACGAGGCTTGCTACTGTAAGATCCTTCGAGGACAATTCCGCTGCTGCTGAGCTGCACGGTGACGGCGCCAGCAGGGTCGACAAGACCCAAGAGAGACCCATCCGAGCTCCACTCGCAACCCTCCGCGGTGTTCACCTCGAGGATGCGGACGTTCACAGCTTACGCTCTGGAGGGCTTTGATTTGGGGGTCTTCTGTCGCCTTGAGCGATCTTTTGCAGAAGCAAAACCAAGTCGTGACCATGCATGCGTGTAGTCCCTCTCTGCTTCCCTAGGAAACACCAAACGCACAGAGCGTTTGGAGGTTTCAGACCGAGGTCGAGGCCGCGGGGAAGCTTTTCTCCGGTTGGTTGGGCACGGCGTCGCCGGGTTGGAAGCTGTACCTGCCCGCAAGCGGTGTCGAAGCGGCAGTGGATTCGGAGACACTGCAGCTGCGAATTACCAGCGTGACAGTGGCAGGCAAGTGGCGCATGTTGGCTGAATGATGCTGAGTGTTCCCTTGCCTGGCTGCTGCCGCTCTTCATTTCTATAAGATGCCTGTGACATCGCTGTCTCTAGGCACCGGCCATTCTGGCTGGCATAACGACGTTAAATTCAGCGGCATGTCTAAGGTGTCGCCACCACTCGAATCGCCGATCCCGAAGACTCAGGATCGGCCTCGTTTTTCCTTGCGCAGCTCTTCCTCCATGTCAACTCCCATGTGCACACTACCCGTTTGAGTTCCTGGAGAAAGTCGCAGCAAGGCCTAGAGAAACCCCAGTTTAGGGCTGTAGGGCTTTTGATAGAACACCACATCGACCTTCAGCTAAGGATAAACTTGACATCAGGCTACTTGTTTCGTTCGCTCCGGGACCATATCATCTGGAAGCGTCCTCACAACGTACGATCCACCCATCTTGCCGCCGCCTTTGATGGCAGCACGGCGCTACGGCCATTCGCCTACTTGGTTGATGTAAGCTGACCCGTTGTAGCTTCTCCGCCTTCTGGGCGCAATCAAGAACTCTGAAAGAGCCCCTCAGAGGTCCTCGAACCTCAGTGCCAGAGGAATTCAAGACTCCCGCGGCAAGACACGACACTGCCACCATCACAGTCATGATCAAGTCATGTGGGCCGAGCTGCTTCTGGACCTTGCTCAACCGGAACCAGCCAGTCAGCCGGCCTGTTCTGTGCTTAGACTCTGGGTGTGTGGTGTCTCTACGGTCTACGAGTCTACGGCGTCTACGGCCTCTCGGCTCCAGCCCGAAGGCCCAGGGATATTCTTTCTCATCTGCCCGGAGAATGCAGAGCGTAGCTCCTTTCCTGAGGGCACCGGGCAACGCGCAAACGAGTGCATCGGTCCTTCAACTTTGTACTCCGCCTGCAAGAGATCTCGTCCGGAGCCAAATCTTCCAGGACGCGGCATTCGGCAAGGCTCTGCACTGCCTGGCTCGTGCCGTCCATGAACCTGCGACGGGCAGCTTTGGAGTTCTGTGAGGCTCTTGCAGGGCACAGGAGCCCTACACGGTGTACCCAGACAGAGAGCGGCGCCTTACTTTGAGCTCCTTCAAGTCTGGAGGAGGTCGGTTGGCTTCAGAATCCTCTGCACGCGGAACGTCCTGAGGCAATGCAGTATTTCGCCGAATTTCGCCTCATGCAACGCACATGGAGACTGTTAGTTCATGCCCGCCGGAACCATCAATGGATGTAAGTACGAACCTCGCATCCCACCGCCATCACTTCCACACTAGTTCCGGTTTGCGAGCGCGACAGCGAGAGCCAAAAAGCGAGCCAGACAGCACACCCTCAACCTTCAATGTAGCAACAGAGGCCTTGCTGTGAACCCAACAAGCACGCTGCCTGACCAAAAACACACGGTGCCAACATTGACAGGAATAGGAGTCCTCCCAACGATGACAATCCCGAAACGAGCAGCGGAAGACACGCTGCTTTCCAAACAAAGCCCAAAAGCCGCCACGTCTACCTCAAAGGTTCCCCCCAAGAACTCTGAGGTCCGCAGCTGCTCGGGGCCCCTTGGGACCCGCACGGGCGCTCGCGAAGGCGCTGCCCCGGCTCTCGGAGCTGCAGGCTCCTCTTTTTTGTTTAGGGGGGCTGTGATGAGACATGGCGCCCTCTTCCCTTTGGCTCTCCCATCAACGCCTCGCTGGGCTTCTGCGGCATGTTCGCCTTCAAAAGGCAGAGAGCATTCGGCGTTTCCGCTTCACAGCTCCGACTCCAAGGTCATGGAATAATGCAAACGCACAGAAATCTGCAACGGGCACGACTCCCTGCAATATCAAGACATGTCAAAAACCTATGTTAGATGCACTGCAACCTCACCTTGGCGTCAGCATCAGATGTCCCAAGATTTCTCGATGCCTCAGCTTGCAAGGAACTGTCGCCTGATTCTGTTCAATTCGTGGCCTCGGCAACTGAACAGCCTTGAATGCTCCAGGTGCAGAAGCAGGCGCTGGCGCTGGTGCAGGTGCTGGTGCAGGCGCCGGAGCTGGTGCCGGCGATGGCGCTGGCGCTGGTGCAGGCGGTGCTGCAGTGGGAGCTGGCGCTGGTGCAGGGGTCGGCACTGGTGTTTTTACGGGTGCAGATGCCGGTGCAGGTGCTGGTGCTGGTGCCGGCGCCGGTGCTGCAGGTGCTGGCCCGGGTGCAGGTGTCTGCGCAGGCGCCACGGGTGCAGGGGTTGGTGCAGGCGCAGGCGCGGGTGCGGCGGGCGCTGCAACCCATGGCTCTGGTGTTGGTGCAGGCATTGGGGCAGGAGCAGGTGCTGGGGCAGGTGCCGCTGGTGCTGGTGCAGGCACAGCCGCTGTCACAGGCCCAGGTGTCGATGCAATCCATGGTGCAGGCGCTGGTGCAGCTGCAGGTGCTGGAGCAGGCGCCGGTGTTGGAGAAGGCGTCTGCGCAGGTGCAACCCAAGACCCTGGTGCGGGTGCAGCTGGTGCTGGCGCAGGTGTGGTTGGCGCCTGTATCTCGGAGCCGACAGACAGCTTCGTTTACATGCTGAGTTTCTCACTACAGACCAAAGATTCTCCATTCCTGGCTCACCGCCTGCACTATGACTACTTGTCCCAGCAAGATGCTGCAGAGACTGCCGCATGCTTAGTGCCACCATGTGGCCTCAGGGCCTATGCCGTTGGCCTCGTGGCAAGTCATGTAACAAGGCGTGCATATGATCCTCGATCTTTCTGGGCATGAAAACACAAGCAGCTTCACAAGCATGCAATCTCAAAAGGGCGTGGTGGCCCAAGAGAACCAAAGCTCAAGAGCAGACCACACAGCTGCCGTGCATGCAGTTCACACTCGAACATTCGACGCGACATGGAAACACACGTATTGACCAGGTTTACATGCTTGCTGCCTGCTGCACTTGCTGCACGGGCTGCGCTGGAGGTGTCCCATTTGCCTGGATTCGGCTCGGGCCTCGGGCCTGCCTTTTGAACGTACGACTGCCACCAATGGTGTTAGAAGAGAAGCCAGGACGGATGTCTATGCAGCGTGCAGGAGCGGTGATTGCTGAACCTACTACGAAGCAAACCGAGGGGAGGAGAGAGTTTGAGAGAAGTGAGGGGTCTACAGTGGGCTGACCGAAATCTAAATCTAAAGCTCCATTTGCGATCGGACAGAGTCTGCACGGCCCTTTGGTTGTTCTCTCACCGCTGCGCGATCTTGCAGCAAGTTGCTCCTTCTTAACCATCGAACAAGGTTTGTGTTTTCGGCATTCCTTCTCATGTCATAGAGCAATTGCAATAGCATGAAGCACAGGGCTGCCTGCGGAGGACCTGAAGTTCCATTTGCCTGGCTACAAGTCACTTGCATGCCGTCACAGTTGCCAGCAATGTGCACATACTTTGCAGCTGTAGCCGCAGCTTCTGATATCTGGCTACCAGGGAAGTCACGGCTGATGCAATGGCCATTTCACACGCATGTCGTTCGCCGACCCAGCTGATGTCACGCCGATTGTTCTCTCTGCGGATTGGCAGAACAGTGACCTTTCAGAGACTTGTCAAATTACTTTTTGGGTGGGGGTAGCGCTCTTCAGGCGCCTTGAAGTTCTCTGCTTTCAGAACCCGCCACGGCACAAGAAGCCCAACAGCATGCAGATGCCCCGGATCTGGTGAATGATCATATATCCTCGCAATAAATCATGGTGACACATATGGTGAGTAGCGGTGCAGTGGGTCGTACGAGTCCTGTCACTGTTCTAGGAAGGGTTGCGCCAACTTCAATCATCCAAAACGATGCGCTTAAAGGGAACATCCCAAAGCAAGGTGCGAAGGGTTTCAGTTCCTATGCGCTCATTGCAATCCGTTCTTTGCTTCGTTGCTTCCTGCACGGGCCACCGCTTCGGGCGGAGAGTTCCAGCACGGTCGCAACACGACATGAAGCATTCGGACCAAACATGGCCGGGATGCCTGCGCTTGAGCGACACTCGCCACCGGTGGGAACTGCCAGCGTGGGAGATCATGAGTATGATCATGAGGGACCAAAGCAAGACGTGAAGAGAACAATCAAAATAAGGATCCGCCAGGGGCTACATTTCACAAAAAAAGCTTCGTTGTCCGGCAGCAGGCCTTGCTTGGTGGCCTTTCTGCAGCATTCCTTGGCCTCAGCACAGCTAAGGCCAAAGCCATTACAGTCCAGCCCAGGACGGCTCACTCTGCTGACATGCCAACCAGTGAGAAGATGCTGAAAGCATGAATGTCACCGTAGTAGCGGCAGCAGTGGCAATGTTGGTCGTCAAGATGATGTGGCTCTCATGATGAGCTGTTTTCGATTCTGATCATTGATGTACACACGGCGGTTGGTTGGAATGGAGCACGTCGTGTATACTGGCAAAGTATAATTTCCTCTCGGATCATGGACGAGGCGCGCTCATGCACTGAAAGCTGTCTAAACACGTCTAGGCCTAGGCATTCGCTTCATGCAATAAACACGTCCGACACTGCCAAGTGAGGCCGCTGCTCGCTGCCACAGGGCGCCGCAGCTGCTGGTCCTTGCGAGGTCTGCAACTTACAGTCTCTTGCTATCGTCTCGATAGTTCAGTCTGATGCGTTGGTGGCAGCACCGGGATACCTGTGACTATGACAGCATTGGTATGATAGCATCGGTGCATCTGCCACTGCTACGACACTTCGGAAAAGCATGTCAGATCCAGCTGTCAACATCACCGCCGATCTCCCAAACACTGGGAGCCACATTCCACCGAGCCTGGAAAGGTGGAAGCTCTTGTGCCATTGATGCCGGCCTTTCAACAAAAACGAAAACCCTTTGGCATCGCATCCCCGGTAAGTGCAAGATTGCAGTGGCATGCGACGCGGGCGAGGACTACTAACCAACGCCAACAAAACAACCATTACGACGACGACGACCAGCATGAGGACAATAGTGATAGCAGCAGCTGCAGCAGCAGCACCTCCTAGAGGAGTGTGGAGGAGGAGGTGGAGGCGGACGTGGAGGTGGAGGTGGCGGAGGAGGAGGAGGGTAGCAGTGGTACAGTAGGAGTACTGGTCGGTGTAGGAGCAGGAGCAAAAGAACAGCAGGAGCAACAGCAGCAGCAGCGGTAGCAGCAGCAGCAGCAGCAGCAGCAGCAGCAGCAGTAGCAGTAGCCGCAGGAGAAGCAGGAGAAGCAGGTCAGCAGGAGCGGGAGCGGGAGCAGGAGCAGGAGCAGTAGCAGCAGTAGTGGCAGTAGTGGCAGTGGCAGTAGCAATGGTGGTAGTACTACGTAGCGGCAGCAGCAGAAGTAGATGTGATGCCTTCTCACAAGCTTGCCTGGCAGGAAATGGTGCTGGTGCCTCGTCCGCAGCGCGAGCAGGAGGGAAGGCCTCAAAAAAGTCCGGAGACTGCCAACGAGGGCCTACCCTTCAGACGTTTAGCAGGCTGGCACATGCAGAATCATGTTTGCCGATCTTCCTGGTGACTGGTTGCTGGGGGTCGAGCTGATCCCTTTGGTGCAGGCGGAGTACGGGAGCCTGTCACAGCCCCAGCACGGCTCAGGGCTTGTCGCTTCTCTTCCTCTGACAGCTCACGTCAGTCCGAACGGCATCATGGCTGAGGCGAAGCAGACCGAACCATCAGCATCACGGCTTAGGGTTTGGGCTTCGGCGTTTAGGCCAGTACAATGGGCTCTCGCAGTGGTCACCAATGAGTTCTGATCTCAATAAGCACAATCCGCCCCCGCACTAGCTGCTGGTGGGAGCGGGGCATCCTCTGCAAACCCTCTGTGAAGCGCCTTGCTCGGGTGGAAGCCAGTCGCCGGTCGGTGGCGGCACATCTTCCTGCCACTCAAACGACGGAGACGCCGGGTTTCAAATCTCGCGCCTTCGAGAAACAACGGCCAGGTGAACAGCATGCTGTTGGCCGCTGTGACGGGCATACAACCACAACATCATGTCGAAATGTCAAATTGCGACTGTTGGAATTTTGCAGTAGCTGATACGAAGCCGCCCACAACAAATCGATGCAAACAACTGGGGGGCTTGGCAGCTGCTGGAGACTATCGGCCAAGAAGCTTCGTGGTGGGCGCTGCCGTACTATCTATGTGGAAGATCCAGGGGTCTTCTCAAGAAGTCACTCCATGGTGAAACATGATCTAGACATGCACTGCGCGCGCTCGAACTGATACCGTACGCTGCCGCAGGCGATGGCCTTGGGAGAGTGCCCTACGCCATTGCTGACACAGCTGTCCTTGGTCGCAGCATGACATCAGCAAGCGTGCCAAACCTTTGGGTGGATTCAAGCTAATGCTACAGGGACAGTTGTCGGCAATGCGAGAATTGCCTAGAGAAGGTGACATTTGGCCAAGGCACCGTCCCTGCAAAGATTGGCCTTTGCGTTGGCTTCTTGAATCGCTCCTGATTCCGACTTCTCACCACAATATTTCGAGAAAAACGAAGTGTGCGCAAGACTACCTCCAAACTTTCGGCGAGAGGCAGAGTTTGGACGAGTCGAGACGCCTTCCAGTGATAAAAAGACCCTGCCAGCACAACGCATGCAAGGCAGCTGCAAAGCGCAAGACGGTGGAGAGCCTGTCTCGCTTCCGGAGGGTAAGAACCACTGCAGACCTTGTGCGTGGATTCTCCTGCGGCCAGAGTTGTTGCAGTCTGTGCTGAAGCGAAGCCTTCAAACATGTAGAATGGAATATGTTTGCAACCGCTGCAACAACCAGCAATCCTGACGATCTACTTCACGTGGCTTCATAGCATCTCGCGTGATTTCCACGCACCACTTTTTGTCGCTGGCCATGCCGGGGAAAAGCCTCGCGAGCAAAGCTTGAATCTGGACACAGTCTGGACAGTGACTACAGCAGTGACTACGGACACCAACGTCTGCCGGGGCCGAGTCACTCCAGCAGTCGGGACCTACTCAAGCCATCCAAATACCCATTCGTTTGGTAGGGCTCTTCATGATGCCGCACGAAGGATCTCAGCGCGAGCGAGCCAGCGACAAAGGCTGCTTCGCATGACATCCGGCACAGGGCAGTCTGAAATGCAGCGAAAGCTAGTGCCGACAAGATTCACGACAGCATCGGTCTCCTTCTTCTTGAAGACTATGATGGCGCACTTGCCGCCATCAACCAAACTCGGAAAATGGGAGGCAGTCCCAACTCCAAACATGCAGCCCTCAGCGTGGCCTCTCCATGGCTGCATCGAGCACCTCATCAAGCTGCTGCATCTCCTTGCCAGGGACACGGCTGGGACGCCAAGAAGCGCTCCTAAGCCGCGGCTTAGGCACCTGGTTCAGGTGAACGCGGATAGCCTGGAAAGTCAGCTTCGCCTGGAAGTGTGGAATTTTGCGGACAACATCAAGATTCTGCAAGACCTGCATGACTTGCGAGATGGATGCGTGGCAGCATCTAACCGGCCGAGGGACCGGATGCTGGCCGCGGTCATCCCAGTTATTCCTCGTCTCAGGCAAAGGGAGCCACTCTCGAAAACAGCATGTGGTGGCAGCGCTTTGCATTTGCTTCTATGAAGACCGCGCAGATGTCTGCAATCGTGCACGATGCGACCCCGGCCCTGAACCCTGAGAGTCTAAAACTACTGCAGCCTGGCGTCTTGACCTTGCGAACCAACTCAGCGAGGTGCTTTGTTGTCCGCAATTCGAGTCCACTAGCGAGCCTGTCGCAACGGTACACACTTCAAACTTCGTAGGTCATTCCAGCACCTTGCCTTGTTTTGATGGCATAGGCAATCCGATCGCTAATGATGGGATCGCCATCTTCACCATACTCGCGGATGACCCAGGCGATCTCCTGAAACAGATGCTCGACATGATGAGAAACACGTCTCGAACCCTCACATCGGGTGCACGTGCCGGATATCGCAATGGGAACATCGTTTTTGAAGGCTGGCCACAGATTTTGAACTCCAGGTGCCTCCATGGATGTCTGCCTGAGCCATTGCCAAGCTGGGATTCCCACGTCCTGTGACGCCGGGAGCAGTGACCAGTTTAAGGAAACCTGCTAAGCTTCGTCAGTCGAGTGCTCAGCAGGCAGGTCCTGGTTCATCCGGAGATCCAAGTCAGCATCCTGACCGCGCATGAGCTGCCGGCTCCGGAGATGTACAGCCTGTATAGTTACGGTCTACTCGGGCCGACTAGGCCTTGCAAGCTGAGATCCTACAGAATCACGGCCCCTGCAACGCTCCTGGGTAACACTGAATCCACGGGCTCGGTCGTCAAGCTGTGGGCTTGACACGCCGAGATCCATCATGATCCCATCCTTGGGCGCATGAGTCTGACGGTAGACTCTTCTGAGGATTGAAAACCGAAATCGAAGTCCTTCCATTATCGGGCACGTTTCGACACTGCTGTTACACTGTGAAAAACCCCTCGATCCCGACAGCTTCCCGGCCGCGAGGCAATCTTGCGGCCCGCAAGTTCCTGCGGGGTGTGCTCCACAAGCTGGTCATCAGCAAGTAATTAGTTTGAGATTTCACTTGGTGCAAGAGCTGTCAAGATATGGCCCATGACATGGCTGATCCCCGACCCATATCCGGAAATAGTGCAAGCCTCGACTCCCGAATTACCCGCGAGCCTGGCGCAGCTCCGAAAAAGGGCGGTGCGCTATGTGAAATCTTGGATCCTGGCAGGCTTTGGTGCCGCACAATCGCCATGCTGTGGCCCTGGTTTCACACTTCTGGACCTTCAGTGTGCATCTTGCTGACGGACGATGATGGAACGGTGGCTGCGGAGGGTACCAGGAAACCGAAGGAATACCCGCAAAGTGGAGACTCCGTGCAGAACAGAGTCCCGCTGCTCAAGCTTCCGGGCTTCTTTGACTGCCTCCGGATCCTTTGCAACATGGCTGCGCAACATCAACTCCATTGCTTTTGTGCACCATGTAGCAGCCGAGGCTCTACATCAAATGCGATCAGCTTCGCAGAAGGCGACAGGTGTTCCAAGATCTTGCGGGTGTGTCCCCCTGCATCAGTACTGCTGGGTGTCTGGTTCTTTCGGGTTCAAGCACAAAGAGAAGATCGAGATTTACTTTCAGTACACTGATGGCAGCAACTCCCAAGAATCGCAATCCGCCGTGCCAACAGGCCGCGGGACATGTTGTGAATGAGGTGCGCTGGCATGATAGAGTCTGACAGATTTGCTTCCAAGTGCTATCCCACAGCGAGGCTCGCCTTGTCAATCCAAGTTTTGAAGCTGCGATGCTCAATCTTCCGAGTTCTTGTGTTCACACACTCTCTCTGGCTCTCTCTCTCTTGCTTGCTTGCTTGCGCGCCGTTTAGAGGACAGGGTTGCCCCTGCCCTCTTGCGCTCTCGCGCTACGGCTCTTGTCTGTCCTTTGGAAGTCGGTGTGAGACAAGTGGGAGTTGGCACGCAGGACAGGCCCCTTACTTCAGCAACACCTGTCTTGCCCCTTGCCCATGCAGCGACTACTGTCCCCGCCTTGTCCTAGCCGTTTGTGCCGACTCCCACTCTGTGTTGTTACTTGGCATCCCCGTCATTGCAGGGATGCTGGCTTGGAGGTGATTCCTTTTGTAGAAACGGTTCCTTACTCAGCATTGCATCACTAGGCACAGGAACTTTGTAGCCCCCTCCTTCTTGTTGCATCTGTGCTACAGTTTTGGTTTGTGGATTATGTGGATGTGAGTGTTGGCACGGGTCCCCGGG